GGGGGGGGAGGGCTCCACAGTAGGGCTCTAGGGTGTGGGTATCTGGGCCAGGGGGGCCCCGTGGCTAGGCTCTGAGGCGGGGTGCGGGTGTATTGGCTGGGGGGGCCCCCATGGCTAGGCTCCGGGGGGGAGGGGTTGTGGGTGTCTGGCCCCTTGGCTGAGCTCTGGGGTGGAGGGCTTTGGGGGGGGGGTCTGGCCTCTCAGCTGGGCTCTGGGGGGGGCGCAAGGGGGCAGAGAAACAGGAACTGGGTTGTCGTAGGGGTTTCTTTATCTCTCTACTCCCAAGGGAATTTTTGTGTGTCTGTATTGTTACAGACATGCCTGCTGACAGGTATTTTGAAATAAATTACCAAAAATAATTGAAACTGGCGTGATTATGTAGTGTTATTTTGACAAATAAAATTTGCAGAATTTTGCAGAATTTTTAATTTTTTGGTGCAGAATGCTCCCAGGAATATTATATGGCTGGTGGATATGCTCCAGCTCCTGGGGTCTTGCAGTTCAATGGCTTGCACAGCAGAAGTCCAAAGGATGCTCCTGAATGGCAATCCTTCCTCATGGTGGTAACATGTTGCCCACTGTCCCACACACGATTCCAGAGCTACAATTTTATCTCATTCCACAAGACTTGTATGTGTCGCTGTAACCAGCAAATCTGAATACCATCAAATGCTATTACATTTTCTTTTCAAGTGGAGAAAGAGAGAAACACTAACCTTATGCGAACTGTGTCTGCTGTGGAACAGCTGCTGCGCCTGGTGCTGGCTGCTGTTATGAGTCCCTGCTTCTCGGAGAATAGCGACTGTCTGCGATTTCACTGGTCTGGAGATTGTTAAATTCACCCTTTCCCCGCTAGCCTGAGGGATAGATGTGCAAAATGAAAATAATAATAAAGTTCTCACTGTATTGTTATTAATTAAGAGATGAGGGATGGTCTCGTGGCTAAGGTACTGAGCTGGGACTTGAGAGATCTGGGTTCAATTCCTGGCACAGCCTCAGACTTCCTGTGTGATGCTGGGCAAGTGATTTATTTTTTCCGGCCTCAGTTCCCCATCTATAAAATGGAGATATTAATACTTTCTTTTCTCTCCCTTTCTCTTGTCTGTTCAGACTGTAAACTCTGTGACAGGGTCTGTCTCTATGTGTACATACAACACCTAGCACAACGAAGCCCCAGTTTCAGTTCAGTTTCAGGCACTTTGGTAATACAAGGAAATAATAACAAGAAAATGGACTGAGTACACTGACAGATTATGATTTTATAGTTTTCAAAACTACTCAATGTTTCAAATCTTAATAGATATTTAAAAACAAATTATTTACCTAGAATAACTAACTTTGTAAGCAGATTCAGAAAATTTGTTGAAGTAGTTGGAGAGAATATATAATCAGACCACCAAACTGTGTAGTTTTGGGGACTATGCAAAAGCTCAATGGTTACCCTAATAGTCCAAAATCCCAACACCAAGATCTCCAAATAGAAATCTGACCTCTTCAAAATCTCAATATATTGAAAAACTGACAAAAAAATAACACAAGATTATTAGAATTTCCTCCTAATTACAAGAGATATTTAAGATGAAATTTAAATTATACAAGCAAATAACCCCCACCAGTATCACAAGTCTCCAACTGCTATTGGAGTATGGAGTTAATCAAATAGTAAACAACAGTATTCTACATAGTCCTAGTGTTTAGGTAAGGTGGTTTACTGGATGAGTACATGGCTTAGAATCAGACCCCCGCCCCCAACTCCAGCTTTGCCATTGATTGGTTATGTGACCCTTAGGCAAGTTACTTCCTTTTTAATCCCCATTTTACAGATAGGGAAACTGAGGCACAATGCGACCTACTTTCATAAAGCTTTTTGACATCTAGCGATAGAGTGATAAGTACACAGTATCATGATCTTCCTTGATTTCTTCTATTAGACTCCAGACTACACTGAGATCACCTTATACATATGAATAGTCTTATAACTTTCAGTAAGCTATGGCACACACTGGAGGAGGCCAACATACTTTTCACTTCTGGCCACATCGGTTCAATTTCTAGGTTTCGTCTGAGGCCCCAAAAGGGGGTGGGTGTCTGCAGTGCATTTTGCACTATTGTGATTGAAAACACCCACTGTATTCACACCTACACACCATTGTAATAACAATCGTACAAAATATGCCTTGTGAGGTATCATTTGAAAACTAATAACTTGCTGGTCAATAATATCATGGTGAAATATATGTAGCAACATTATATGTGAAGTTATGAATTCCCCCTGTATTATGATGTTAGCATATGTTCAAACTCACAGGGGCCTGACTAGACAAAAGGTGTTAAATGGGTCTATCCTAGGCAAAGGAATGTGTGTTTACCTCAATTTACATTTAAAAAGTAAACAGGAGCCTTGAAACAGCATGAGGGGGAAATGGCAGGAGACAAGGCAAATCTGCATTTCAGCACGCACGGGGAAGAAAGAGCATGGAGTCACCTTCACCACCAGCCTCCACATCACCTTCTTTACTGTTTGAGTAAACTTTGCTTTGAGGGGTAATCCTCAGAAGAATCCACTTCAAAGGGTGACTGGACTATAAAAGTGAGGGGCAAAAACACCCCAAGGCATCTCTCGATCTCTTTCACTCACCTAAGTCGACTAAGGAGCCAGCCCTTTGACATAAGGGAGGATCCTAACCTGTGAATTTGGTCAGCAATGTTGCTGGAAACCTGTGGTAAGAATTTTACTTTGAACCAAGTCTAGCTTGTTAAGTTTAGCTACTAGAAAGCGTTTTATCTTTATTTCTCTTGTAACCATTTCTGATTTTAATGTCTTTTACTTGTACTCACTTACAATCTCTCTCTTTGTAGTTAAATAAATTTATTTTATTTTTTTAATCAAAACTAATCCAGTGTTGTGTTTAAACTGAACTGTTTAGGTAACTCCAGTTCAAGTAGCAAACTGTTGCATATTGACCCTTTACAGAGGCAATGGACCTTTAATATCTGAACTGCCCAAGAGAGGGATGGACAGTGCAGAACACATCTTTTGGGGGAAAATCTGGGATTGGGAATGTGTTGGGGCCACCCTGCAAGGAGTAACCAAGGCTGGTGGAAGCCAGAATGTGACTGGAGTGTTGCTGACATGCTGCTGGGGTCAGAACTGTAGTTAAACACAGACACTCAGTGTGTTGCCTGCATGCTGTTCGCCTGTTTGTGAGTGGCCTAGTTTGGGAGCTACATCAGTAAAGCACTGTGAGGCACCCAGTGTTAGGGGGCAGGCAGTGACACAACCTCTTACCAGTCTGGATTGCACCCCGGAATGTGACAACTCTATAAAACTATATTATAAGATTCCAGGAATGTCACTCTGTGTTATTCTGAAGCCTAAAATGGCTGTAAAGTCAGTTTGAAGTAATAGAATCAGCTACAAGCATGGTTGGAGCTCCTTTTGTACAGAATATCAGCAGGTTGTATCTTCACTGGGTTTTGCAGTCTGTTACCATCCAATTTTTAAGTTCTCAGCCATTTTGACTTCACAAATTACACCAGAAAGGCATGTATCTATGCCATGCCAAGAGTCCCAGACCATTGCAATAACAGAGGTAACACAACCAGTCACCATCATTACTCCACAGGTAATTTGCATACAACAATTTCATTGGCTGTATGAGGGAGACTGCACAGATACTTGGCCCAGCTGCCACACCTGCGCACCCAACTACTACCTGCACAAACCAACACAAATCTCCAAGCATAACCCCCAACAAATCAACAAAACCACCATGCAAATCACCACCACTACCCCTCAATGCAGCACACACCCCTCATTTGCCACCCACACAACTCTCCCAGCCCAACACAACCCATACACAAATCAATGCAGCCACCTGTGACACCTGGCACCCCAATATTCACCACTGTCATGTAATTAGGATATGTTTTGTGCAAAGTCTGCCTTGTGAGGTATCATTCTAAAAATCTTGTTCTGCTAGACATTAATATCTCATTGGATTGTATGTGCTACCGTCCTATGTGAAGTTATGAAGTTTGGCTATGTATGTGAGGCATGTGAAACATGTTGTGAGGTTGAAAAACACCCAAAAGCAGCCTTTCAGGTACAACAGTAAAAAGGACAAACAAAGTTAATGGCTTATTGAGGAAATGCACACAAGCACAAGGATTACCCCAGGAACCGTGTACAATAGAAACCTCTCAGAGATAGCAATGGGAACTGTTTGACCCACATCACAGCAAAAGAGCTCTCCAGCAAGTGAGAAGAAGATATAGAAGGGGGACAACGACATCATGGTGGGACCTCACTCTCCCTACAACAAAACACCTGAGGGGCAAGGACTGAACTGTGGGAAGTGATGGTCCCAAGCTAAAGGGATTTTTAGCCTGTGTATGAAAACCTGGGAAATCCAAGGCACCTTGTGCCTTAAGAATCTGCCAGCCTCTTTATCATTCAGGGTGAGAATTTGCTAATTCATATTCTACCTATCTAGTGTGTTAAGCTCAGTTTGTGGTTTTGTTTATTTACTAAGGTAATCTGCTTTGATCTGTTTGCTCTCACTTATAATCACTTAAAATCTATCTTTTGTAGTTAATAAACTTGTTTCTGTTTTGTCTAAAACCGGTGTGTAAAAATTATAACTTGGGGCAGAAAGTTGTTCCATCTCTCTCTCCACATTGAGGGAGGGGAGACTTTTATGAGCTTACGCTGTACAGTTCCCTGTGCAGTGCAAGATGGTATAATTTTGGATTTACACTCCAGAGGGGGTGCGTGCCTTAGCAACTGGGAGGTGCCTTAGCTGAGCCTTCCCATGCAGAGCTGATCTCAGCATCTGTGTGAAGCTGCAGCTGGGTGTCTCCCTAACTCTGTGTATGCTGGGGAAAGAGCAAGCTTGGAGAGCTTAGCAACTTATCACAGCACCACAGTGCAAGAGGGAGCCCAGGCTGGTGGATCATACGGGCTCAGTGGTACCCCAGTTCCAGGTGCCACTCTGGGGGGAATCCGTCACATCACCCCCATACAATAACCCCAAATATCACTCTGAAGCCTAGAAAGTCTGTTGAGTCAGTGGGAAGGAAATGGAATTAGCTAAAATCATGGCTGGGAAATCTTTTTGTTTGGAATATCACTAGGTTCAATCATCACTGGGATTCACAGTCTGTTTCCATCCAATTTTTAAGTTCTCAACTGTTTTGTTTGTTTGTTTTTAAACACACACATCTTTATAAAATTACCTGAGCAACAGCACAGGCTTTCAGCTACTAGTAATGAGTAACATCTGCCAAAACCACTATACAGTTTAGGCACAATACACAAGTTGTTCTGAACTGTACTATGCCATTTTGGGGTGAAATTTGGCGATACGTACAATAAGTGTCTTGACATATAATAAATTTTAAAGTTTCAGACTGAATAAAGTACCCCATTAGAGTTTACCTGGATAATCTGAGCAGCAAGTTCTGGTGTCCCATGTTTCAGGTCATGTCCGTTGATTGCGAGTACCCGGTCATTGCTGCAGAGTCTGCCATCTTGAGCAGCCAATCCCCCTTCCAAAAGGTCGAGGATAAAAACTCCTGGCTCATCTGTTCTGCGCACTAATTTAATGCCAAGCTGTTCACTGGAGTCTCGTTTATGCAGCGTCACCTGAAAGCTGTCTTCTCGCAGCGAAGTGCTGTCAGCATGGTTGTGTGTCCGGCTTCCAAATCGTCTCTCTCGGAGCACCGTGAGATGCAGCACCATGCAGGGCTGGGAAAGAACCGCTCGAGCATGGTTATGGGACACGTTGCTGATGTCAAAGTTATTGACCTGGAAAACAAGAAGTAAAACAATATTCATATCTGTTTACTTGTTTCTAGATGTATCAATAAAATCCTTGCCAAGTTCAGAGACCCTGTTACAAACCTCTAATAGTCTATACCTGGAATTATCTACTTATCCCACTGTGCTCCTTCCCTCTCTTCATTCAATTCTCTCTTAAATAAACACTTTATCAGCTGAGCCTACAAAGCTAACCCACATCAACATTACACCATCACTATTGCAATTAACACTAACTTTCACCACATTCTAAATTACTGCCATCCTCTCCGTCTCCCAGTGCATTTGCATCTGATCATCCTGGGTCTTTCACCCTGTATGCTCAGGGCAGGAGCTGTTTGTTCTATTTAAAGTGACAGCCAAACACATTGCTGTCACTTTAAATAAGAGTAGCTTTAAAAAGAACGTGTAAAATTCTTTAAAGAAAGGAATTTTAAGGATGAGTTTATAATCTTACAACTTTTACAAAAAGTAGTGTTTCTGAGGCCTGGTCTACACTACGACTTTAATTCGGATTTAGCTGCGTTAATCCGAATTAACCCTTCACCCGTCCACACTACAGAGCCAGTTAATTCGAATTAAAGGGCACTTAAAATCGATTTCTGTACTCCACCTCGATGAGCGGAGTAGCGCCTAAATCGATTTTGTTAATTCGAATTAGGGTTAGTGTGGCCGCACACCACCGAATTACTGTGGTTAAAGTAATGGGGTAGTGTGGCCGCACACCACCGAATTAATGTGGTTAAAAACCGAATTAATGTGCTTAGTGTGGCCGCGCACAATCGAATTTATACAACCTGTTTCCCAAATTCGAATTATCTAAATTCGGATTAATCCTGTAGTGTAGACATACCCTGAGAATGGAATTGCAGTAAATGCAGGTGTTTTGTATCAGAAAAGTACCAGTTGGGATACGTGCTCAGATAGTCAACCAGTCAGATTACCAGATTGGCTGAACACTGATAAACCTATAAAATTTGGCCTATAGTACAATATGTTGTAGAATACTGTTTTTGACTACTGGACAATTCTAATTCATATTTAGAGTGTGAAGAAAATATTTATTTTTTTCATATATTTCAGCATACTTTATATTACTATACTTTAGGGCAACATATAAGTGTATCTGAATTATAGGATGTCCATTTCACAGTTTATCATCTTCATTTTGCAGTCCTAGAGCTCAGGAACAGAAATGTAAATGAGACACCATATAAGTACACAAGGAAGCAGAGACAGATGCTGTCTTGGATGCCAGTTCAAGACCATCTATATTAAGTCATGCACCTCGTGTACCATAACAAACAGAGAGAAATTAGCACTGCTGGGCTGAAATACCAACATCTGAGCTACAATCAAATAATTCAAAAGTGTGCAAGATGCAGAATATTAAATTAAGTCTATCATTCCTATTATCATATATATATTTTTTTAATAACTCCACCTCAAATCTGATCTGATTTTATTGACTTCTATCTGAAAACTATTAGAGCTAGACTCAATGCTGGAAGTGGTCTGAAGGCTTGGAATTTCAGCTAATGCTTTGAAAACATTAATCTTTAACTCTTAGGAATTCTAGAATATTGGCTGCTAAAATAGTAGGAATGGGAGGGGAAGAGAGATGGTAAGTCTGAATAAATTGACTTTAATAACTTTGGTAATACACAACACACATTTTCTTCCTCTCCTAGGAAAATGAGAGCACGTTGGAGTTTCATGCTACTGCTGCGATCTTGAGCAATTCCCTGTTTCCACATTCAGAATGACCACAGCACCATTAAGTGGAGGAAAATATTAGACTTAGGGTATGTCTACACTACAGGATTAATCCGAATTTAGATAATTCGAATTTGGGAAACAGGTTGTATAAATTCGATTGTGCGCGGCCACACTAAGCACCTTAATTCGGTTTTAAACCACATTAATTCGGTGGTGTGCGGCCACACTACCCCATTAACTTAAACACAGTAATTCGGTGGTGTGCGTCCACACTAACCCTAATTCGAATTAACAAAATCGATTTAGGCTCTACTCCGTTCGTCGAGGTGGAGTACAGAAATCGATTTAAAGGGCCCTTTAATTCGAATTAACTGGCTCTGTAGTGTGGACGGGTGAAGGGTTAATTCGGATTAAGGCAGCTAAATCCGAATTAAAGTCCTAGTGTAGACCAGGCCTTAGGGGAAAAAAGCATAAAGTCAACATTTTTTCAATATAATTGGACCATTGTAGCTCTTCTTCAACGTGGAAACAAACTGTTTACGCTAACAACAACATGAGACTCAGACTCTCAGATGTCTCTGGAAGAGGGAAACATTGAGGAGGTACAAATATTCACTAACATGTTCTTAAAGAGCTCTGAAGCTAATGCCAAGATTTCCAGAAATGAGTGCTTAACTTTACACATTCAAGTTTTGAAACCCTTGGCCTTAAGTTTTACATGTCTGATACTGAAGAGCAGCAAAATTTTTGGAACTATAAAGGTTAAATCAGATGACACGCCCACGAAAGCTTATGCTCTAATAAATTTGTTAGTCTCTAAGGTGCCACAAGTACTCCTGTTTTTTTTTAAATTCTGTAACTCAACACTCACCAGCGCTACAGAAACTTTGGTGGGCTGGTATAAATACTTTCGGGCCTGTAAACTGTAAACTAGAGCTGGGGAGAAAACGTTTTTCCAGCCCTGTAAAAATTTGAGATTTCAGAAATGCTTCCCATTGCACATTGGGATAGGACTTCTTGAAGCTTTTCACAAAAACAAAACAAAACAAACAGGGACACAAACAGACTATCCTAGCAGGAAGGGCACTTACCTAGGACGTGGGTGACCCAGGTTCAAGTTCCTGCACTAAGTCAGGCAGAGCAGGGACTTGAAGTTGGCTTCCTCACATCCCAGGTGAGTACCCTACCCACTGGGCTACGAGCTATTCTTTGGGTGAGTCTGTCTCTCTGGGTTTTGACCCGGAATTTTGTCCTGGACCTAAGAAACCTCTCCCGAATGAAGTTTTATCCAAACCAATATACTTCTGTGAAAAGGTTTCTTTCCGATTAGGATTAATCCCAAGGTAAAAAGTGCAATATATTTTTAAAAAATCAACAGTTAAAATGCAGAAGTGTTAGGGTGAAACCCTGGTCCCATTTAAGTTAATAGCAAACTCCTGTTGATATAAATGGGCTTAAGTTTTGCCCTTACAGCCTGTATTGTTAATTTAAAAACCAAACCAAACCCTACAGTACATAAACTGCCAGACCTGTTGACTCACTACTCTGATATGCACTAATACAATAACTGAGATATCTGAGCCATTAATGATTCTCTTCAAAAAGTCATGGAAGACGGGGGAGATTCCAGAGGACTGGAAAAGGGCAAATATAGTGCCAATCCATAAAAAGGAAAATAAGGACAACCTGGGGAGTTACAGACCAGTCAGCTTAACTTCAGTACCCGGAAAGATAATGGAGCAAATAATTCAAGCAATCAATTTGCAAACACCTAGAAGATAATAAGGTGATAAATAACAGTCAGTACTGATTTGTCAAGAACAAATAATAGCAACAACCACCTAATAGCTTTCTTTGACAGGGTAACAAGCCTTGTGGATATGAGGGAAGCAGTAGGTATAGTATATCTTGACACTGTCTCATATGACCTTCTCATAAACTAGGGAAATACAACCTAGATGGAACTACTATAATGTGGGTGCATAACTGGTTGGAAAAACATTCCCAGAGAGTAGTTATCAGTGGTTCACAGTCAAGCTGGAAGGGCATATTGAGTGGGGTCCCACAGAGATTGGTTCTGGGTCCAGTTCTGTTCAATATCTTCATCAATGATGTAGATAATGGCATGGAGAGTACACTTATAAAGTTTGCGGGTGATATCAAGCTGGGAGGGGTTGCAAGTGCTTTGGAGGATAGGATTAAAATTCAAAATGATCTGGACAAACTGGATAAATGGTCTGAAGTAAACAAGATGAAATTCAGTAAGGACAAAGGCAAACTACTCTACTTAGACAGGAACAATCAGTTGCAGACTGAAGTATTGTGTCCAGTACTGGGCATCACATTTCAGGAAAGATGTGGACAAGCTGAAGAAAGCCCAGAGAAGAGCGCGCACACACAAAAAGATTAAAGTTCTATAAAATATGACCTGTAAGGGAAGATTGAAAAAACTGGGTTTGTTTAGTCTGGAGAAAAGAAGACTCAAAGGGAACATGGTAACAGTTTTCAAATACATAACAGGTTCTTACAAGGAAGAGGGAAATAACTAGTTCTTGTTAACCTCTGAGGATAGGAGAAGAAGCAATGGGCTTAAATTGCAGCAAGGGTGGTTTAGGTTGGACATTAGGAAAAACTTTGTAACTGTCAATGTAGTTAAGCACTGGAATAAATTGCCTAGGGAGGTTGTGGAATCTCCACCATTGGAGATTTTTAAGACTAGATGACCTCTTGAGGTCCCTTCCAGTCCTACGAATCTCTGATTCTAGGAATATAGAGTATTTCTTTTTGTGGCAGAAATGTTTCTAGAGGATCAATTCAGTACGAGCATTTCCTGCAGTCCCTAAAACAATAAATACACCTGATACAGCAATGAGATTTGACAGAAAAAATACAAACAGTAGAAAAAAAATCAAAAACATCTGCCTGTAACAATGAATTTAAACATTAAGTAGCTGAGTCAAATCCACAAAAAGTAAGGGAAATTCATAGTTAAGGTTGAAACTTCAAGGTACAATGGGATGAGTTAAGGATGATGTTGTAAGGCAGTGGTTCTCAAACTAGGGCCGCTGCTTGTTCAGGGAAAGCCCCTGGCGGGCCGGGCCGGTTTGTTTACCTGCCGCATCCGCAGGTTCGGCTGATCGCGGCTCCCACTGGCTGTGGTTCGCCGCTCCAGGCCAATGAGGGCTGCAGGAAGCGGCATGGGCCGAGGGACATGCTGGCCGCCCTTCCTGCAGCCCCCATTGGCCTGGAGCAATGAACCGCAGCCAGTGGGAGCCGTGATCGGCCGAATCTGCGGACGCGGCAGGTAAACAAACCGGCCCGGCCCGCCAGGGGCTTTCCCTGAACAAGCGGCGGCCCTAGTTTGAGAACCACTGTTGTAAGGGTCTCCAAACATTCGGTGATTTTACCATATCATCAGTACATGTGCTGCAACACTTAAGCACAAAGAAGCAAATGAAGGAAAAAGTTTAGAAAAAAAACCCCTTAATAAATGTATCATTTTAGTAAATGAGTGCTGATACAAAATAGTCCATAATGGGCATGTTATTATTTACCTTAGTCATTTCAATCTGTAAGTTTCAGGAGTGAAACAGACAAATATAACCTGGTAACAAATCCTTGAAAACAGGAATTTATAATGGAATCTCTGACAGATATTTTATTCCAGGACCTCTTTTGATAAGTATCTAAGATGTTTCAGTTATTAATCTGTATTACAATTGGTAACTAACTTCTTTTGGTTGATAGATGACATTTCTTAACATAAGTGAAATGACCACCAATGTCATATAGGCCTACAAAAGTAGAGTTTATATGGGAAATATGTTAAAGGAAGCGTATTTTTTCTGTTCTCTTTCAAAAAATGTGCCATGAAAGAGAAACCTGAAATGAAATATAAGTTCAATTTAAAAACAAACCAACCAACCACGAACAATTTTTCATCCACTGAGTAATATTTTTAAGCCCTAGTTGTCCTTGCTTTAGAAGGAATCAATGGTCTACTTCTTATACACTACTGTGTTAATTCTAAAACATACTAAAGCAAGCTGGGTGTGAAAGCAAAACATCTATTTCTGCCACACAGACCTTCTAAGTGAAACACAGAGTATGTGAAAAAGTGCCAAACACCTTCTTTTCAGCGTTTAGCAGATGACACTACAGGAGCTCGAAGTAAGATGTCCTTGAACAAAGACATATTTCTCTTTACTCTTCTCTGCCAAAATAAAGACCTCCCTCAACTGAGTTATAACATCATGTGATACGTAACATAATGGTGCATCAAAAAATCCATAACGCCACTATGCAACACTGTAATCAGCAAGGGATGAGGTGTGGAACACACTGTCAGAAGTCTTAAAAGAGCAACACGCCAATGCGGAAACTACAGAACCACCAAAAAAGAAAATCAACCTTCTACTGGTGGCATCTGACTCAGATGGTTAAAATGAACGTGCATCAGTCTGCAGTGCTTTGGATTGTTATTTAGCAGAACTGGTCATCAGCATGGAACCATATCCTCTGGAATGGTGGTCGAAGCATAAAGGGGAATATGGATGTTTAGTATACATGGTACACAAATACCTTGCAATGCTGGTTATAACAGTGCCCTGTGAACACCTGTTCTCATTTTCAGGTGACACTGTAAATAGGAAGCGGACAACATTATCTCCCATAAATGTAAACAAACTTGTTTGTCTTAGTGATTGGCTGAACAAGAGTGGACTTGTAGGCTCTAAAGTTTTGCATTGTTTTATTTGAGTGCAGTTGTGTAAAAAAATAATAATTCTACACTTTTAAGTTGCACATTCTCAATAAAGAGATTGCACTACAGTACTTGTATGAGGTGAATTGAAAAATACTATTTCTTTTATCTTTTTTACAGTGCAAATATTTGTAATAAAAATAATATAAAGCGAGCACTGCACACTTTGTATTCTGTGTTGTAATTGAAATCAACATCTTTGAAAATGTAGAAAACATCCAAATATTTAAATAAATGGTATTCTATTGTTTAACAGTGTGATTAAAACTGCGATTAATCTAGACTATTTTTTAATCGTGTGATTAATATTTTAATTGTTTTACTTTCTTAATGTTTACATAAAATTACATTAAGCTAGATATTTAAAATGTTAGGCATGTATTTCTAAACAATGAATTAATCAGATTTTTTTTTAAAACCCTGTTGATATGAAATATACTTTACAATTTTATATAATAGTATTAAACCTTGTGCCCTCAGTCAAGTATTAAAGGTTACCTGAAAAAGAAAATACTTCTCCATTTGGGTGGGCAAGAAGTGCTACAGTTCACCTTACAGTCATATTCAGCTTGTCTAAATTCCTCAGATAACACTCTCTGAAGGGATCTTCAGATGTCCACCATTGAAGCATGAACATATAACTGCATGCAACATAATACCTAGTTTTGGTCTGCAAAGGCCAAGCCGACTAAATTTCATGAGCCAGCTTAGCACCAACACAGGCCAATTCTAAGCAAGGAAGCCCTTAGGTCTTCCACAGAGTCTGGTTTGTGTCTTCTGCACCTCTCCACACCCTGCTTCTATATACCCTTCTTACAATGGCAAGGGGATTCTACTGAACTTGCTTACAGAGTTTGCAGAGGTTCAGTGTTATCAGGTCTATAGGGTTTTTACACTGCAGTTCCAATTTTTACCCATCTAGAGTCACTTTACAGATACTTAGAGCTTTTGGAACCATAACTGCCAGCTGCTCAACAACAAGAATTTCTACAACTTCAACAGGCTCACCATTCTGGCAGCTCATGGCACAGCCCTTGATTACCAAAAGGCTCTCATTGGCTGCTGGGGTTAGTGACTGGATATAGCATCCAATCAACACCTGCAATTGCTTGGTTTTGAACATAGCTTGGGTTACTTTTTGCCAACTCTGTCATAATACTCTGTGATAGTAAAAGGGCTGGTTTCTCTAATGCCAGGGAAGAAAGGTTTTATTTTCTGAAGTCCATGCTAATTTTATTTAAAGGATACTAAAATTTCCCAATCATGTCTACCTGCTGGAGTGAGTGAGTGTGTAAAAAAGGTGGAATTGTCCAGAGTTGGCAATGAGGGAGGATTTACTATGGTATGTCGGATCCAAAGGACAGAAATATTTAAAGTAGCTGAAAATAAAATTAAAGAATTCATTTAAAATAAAACAGAACCAGAGCTTTTAATACTTTCTTCTGCTATTTCCTCATTCTTCTAGATTTATTATATAAGTTATTTTATCTGTTAATTTTAAATAGGAAAAATAACCCTAATATTCATAACAGAACATTTCAAATCACATCAGTGAAGGACTTCACCACAACATTTTTTGCTTTTAAACATAATTGTTGATTTCAAGTAATAAGGAATGGCAGGGAAGCTGCAGCTGGAAGGGAACATGACAGACTAGTTAGCATAATAAACAAGGCAAAAAAAAATCAATCCTGTAACTCACAAATGCAATTGCAAAAGGCAAATTAAATTAACTTCCTAACCAAAAATAACCTTTGCTTTCTTCGGAGGGGGTGCCTATACCTCAAAAGGAGAGGAGGAGAGCCTCAGACCATTAAAAATAGAAAATAATACACTCAGCCTTTCTTATCCATTTTTAAAGCTATTGAACAGAAATAATTATAGGAAGCCGAGCCCCATGAACTATGTAAATCATTGGTATCAGTACTGGAATAACAGACTCTGCTCAGTCTGAATAATAATTTGTTTTTAAACTAATATTGCAAAGCTAACATTTACACAACACAGATTGGCAGGAGAACTACCACCATCTCATAACATACTGTACAGCAATGATTGAATGCATGCAAGTAGATAGACAATTTAATTAGATTCCATACTTGAAGTATTTGGTCTCCAGCAAGGAGTCTTCCATCTCTGGCAATGATCCCATCTCGATAAACCTCTTGAATAACAATGTTGATCAAAGGAGTTTCATTGCCACCCACTATGCTAATTCCTAACTCAATATAAGGATTGGACCGGTGAATTTCAATTGTAGTGATTTCTCCTTCGGGCAAGGTAGGTGGCTGGTGGGTTGCTGACAAGTTTAAAGAAACAAATAAAGAAAGGTTAATATATTTTATACCACAGTACATTTTCAACACTGCAAATTATTGGCGGACAATATAAGCACACCAGACGACAATGGTATAATACAAATAAAACAAATTGGATTGGCTCCACTGTTTGCTGAAACACCTTGGTTTATCTACAAAGATAAAGACCTAAAATAAGTGATCAGTATCCATGCACTAACAGAAAAGTTAGGTATTACTTTAAAAAGAGGATATTCAGAACCCTTTGGGACCTAACCTTTAAAAATAATTATCTTCTTTTTCATACATTTTCTTTATCAATTAGCTCTTCCTTAACCAGTTCCACAGGACAGCAACAGCTGTCACTGATTTACAAGGTCAAGGCAAGAAGCAAGCACACCTCCAAACACAAACACAGACAGCTACAATGGAAGAGGAGGATGCTAATGAATGGTGAGTACACAGGCTACAAACAGGAAAAGGAAGGGGAAAGACCACCTTCCTCTGTGGTAAGGCTCAGTGTTTCCTCTCTAATATCGCAGATGCTAGAGGTGTTACTGTTAGTTCGATGCAGATGGATGCAGGAGTTACTCAGTTGCCTTTTCGTTCGAACAGGACAGTATTCCATAGGTGGGAAGCCTGTTGATCCAGGGGAAAAAAATCTCATCTTAGAAACCAGATTCAGCAATTCTATAGAAAACATTGCCTCAATGTAGCTATCAGACCAGAACAGAGACATTAACATGCTCTACAGTACCAGATAGCGTTGTGTTATAGCAGTATGATACTATTGCAGTAAAAATAACAGATAGATCTTTCCCATCTAATTGTGTTTTCATACAAGTGCTACATTTTCAAGTAGAGAACTCTTCGGGGAGTTTAACTTTCCAATAAGAATCACTATAGGACAAACACAGCAGCTGGAGACATAGGGTTTGTTATTTGTTTGCAGGAGATAAACTTACAATTATGTCACTAAGTTTCTAGGTTTGATTTAGACAGATCAAACAGAGAATTATAAGACAAACATGACATACTGTCTGCTATTGTGCTCTCTTCAAAGGCAGGGTTGTTAAGGCCAGGCTCATCTGTCCATGCAGGAAGAGTAGTTGGTGTAAAGTTCTGATCCACTGGCACTGGTCCCGTCCCAGCATGGTCTGTATCTGGAGATAAAGTGCCTGGGTGATCTATCAGATTAGGCCCATTTTCATTCTCAGCTTCTGTCTGCAGCTTGCTAGACTTCCTTTTCTCCAGTACAACCCTTCGATGGGAAGCTCCAGGACACCTAGAGATAGACCGTCATGTTACTTTCAAATATATATGAAAAGTGGCCATATTACACAGCACAAAAAGCTTGAACATTCCAGTCCCAAATTTCCTGCAACCCACTTCCAAGGCTCTCCAAGTCCCCAGCACCCACTCCTTCCATGTTCCCCAGTCACCAGCATGCCTTCCAGTCTATGTCGTACCAGTCTCTTGCGCCCCTTCCAGGCATCCTTTCGTTTGCTGTCCATAGAATGTCCCCTTCCTCATTTCCAAGAATAGGTATCACAGTTCCATGCTACCCATTTCCTTACTCTGAGTCCAAGCCCTGCCCCCTTGTATGCCCCCTATCCAACTTCCCTCCACACTTCCGCTCCCATCACACCAATCCATGCCTGGAATAGGTAGTATATCAATTTGTACTGCTTAACAATTTAAAGCCTGCTTCTGAGTCAGCTCTATATGAGCATGGCCAAGGCTGTAGCCAAAAAACAATGAATAAAGTGGGGGTGGGAAGGGAAGAAAAAAAATCCTACATCCTGCTGTCACTTGTGCGTGCATACGTTTTCTGAATAGAGCATTTCTCTACCCTAGGCTAGTATACAGGGAGCCAGAACCAGGGCTTTCTTCAGCATGGTTAAAAAGACAGCAAGCAACAGATAATTTCAGTCCTTAAATTTACAAAGTTTCCTTTTAATTAGTATAAAGCCTTTTATTTTCCCAGCTCCTCTTGCTTCCTGACCTATGGTTGGGTTGGAAATGCACATTTTTCCTTCCCCCCACCCCCCCACTTGGTCCTTCCCTCAGCATTCCACAACCTCCTCTTTATAACTGCTTTAACGAGCCCCTAGTTAAGCTGTTCCCAATCTACTTTAGTGGTTTTTTGTTTGTGAGTTTCCTATGTGTTATCTATATGCAGCGACAACAATGTTATGGTGATCTTTCATTTATATAATGATCTTACATTTACATAATGCTTTTCATGTACATTGGTGATCAGGTCTGGACCTGGGTCTTATGTCTCATCTGTAAGATGGAGTGTTGCCAACGCTCATGATTTGATTGTGAGACTCGTGTGTTGTGCTAGGAGAATTGTGTGGATTTGTGCGTGGCAGTCGGGTATTGCACCTGGGCCAAATAATCCCCCATCTGCGCAGTCTCCCTCATACAACCAATGCAAATGTGGCAAGCAAATTAGCTATAGAGTAGAAAGCGGTGATTGGTTGAGTTACCTGATCTCACAATGGTCTAGGACTCTAGGCATGGCATAGATACATGTCATGCTGATACTGCAGCTGCACACTTCATAGTGTAATTAGTAAAGTCAAATTGCTGAAAACGTAAACATTGGAAGGCAATAGACCATGAATCCCAGTGATGATTCTACCTGGTGATACTCTGAACAAAAGAGTTCTTAACCATACTTGTAGCTACTTCCATCATTTCACACTAGCACAGACACTTTAGGCTTCAAAGTGACATTCCTGGAATCTTATTATCTAGATAAAGGGATTTATCATGCACAGTATGTGTCCATTATTCAAATATTGAAGCCACGCACAAGTTATGCAGGCCATTCCAGACAAGTGGCCAATACAAATTCCAGACCATACCACACACCTTGACCTATTTTGTTTATTCCAAATATTTTGGAGAAAAGCTATTTTTGGACCCCAATCTTGAAATCTGTTGTATATGGGTAGCCCGCAGTGCTCAGGCAGAGCCCTGCTGAAGTCAGTGGGTCTCCGTGAGGGCACAGGGATCTATCTTCACACAACAAGCTACATGATCAGAACTTCAGAATGTAAAATGCATTTTACTGACATTTTTCATATTATACTATCTGTAAAATCAGGCCATCTTACTTATGAATAATAGAAGAGATGGTATTTGCGTTTATAAAAATCTCCAAAATGATCTAAAATAGATTTTCCTTAGATCAGGGTGCCATGTGTGTAAGAGGTAACGTATCATGACCTACCAGGACTAGGAGCGGCAGGTCAGCAGCAAACCCATGCATTGGCGGTATCTATTTGCTTTGGGAGTGCGGGGGGGAGGACCCAAAAAACCTTCGGGAGGAGGGGTTACATTGTGGAGATCTCTCTTCCCTTCACCCTTTCTTGTGCAAGCTCGGAAGCTGGAGGAGGGGTAAGAGCAGCGATAAGGACCCCTTCTCTCAGTAGCCAGGAGGGTCAAGAGTGGGAAAAGACACAGAAAGCTCCTTCACCCTTCCAGCAATTGGAGAAGTTTTGGAAGGCTAGAAAAACTTCAAATGCATCAGACACTTAGTAGCTAGAGGCAGATATGAAAGATGAGCCCCCAAAACAAGGACCAGGGACAGCATCCTGGTAGGAATCCCAGCCCTTTCCTCCTTCCCAGCAACCGAGTGGGGCAATGAGCTAGGCTTTCATCAGGGCATCTTGTTGATGGGAACACAGCTTGTAACCTAGGTGAGAATAGGTGTTAAGCAAGGAACTTTCAAACTCCAAATCCTTTGGATTTTCCTTACTTTTGAATAGTAGGTTTGGCATTTATTGCAACGATTTTTTCTGTAAATCTTGCTGTGGTCATGTATGAATCTGCACATTAAATATGCTGGTTTCCAGCCACTGAGCAACTCAAAAGGTTCTTCTGTGGAAAAAGAGGCTTTTATAAAAGGTTTAAATTTAAGTTTCCACAAAAAATTCCTTTTAAAGGAAGCTCTAAATGTTCAGTAATGGGGGATATGGAGGAGTGTTGTGGTACCTTCTGAAGTGTCTACACTTTTTAATACTGGATGGCAAGTTGTGGCTCAGCTTAAATAAAAATAATAAAAAAAACCCTAAGACAGGGCCTAAATCTGCACGCGAACCAAAACTGCATTGTGCTGGACCAAAGCTGTACCTTTCTAGAATGGAATTTGATTAGATCTGAAGTCTCAGTAAGTTGAATTTAAATCAAATATTGCAGAGGTTCAGTAAGGTTTTCTTGGACCTGTGGTCAAGTAAATGATCTTTGATAAAGTAGGTACCAATACCATTGTTAGTTATTAAACATTAACAAGATTTCTAAATACCACATGCTCAGGAAATAAAGTACAAGAGATCCTTACAAGGGCTGACTCTAAGGGGCTGTGGTTCCCAAGCAAATTTGACGAACCTGAAAAACTGATAAATCAAGGGGATTCTAAGTAAGCAGTGAGGTAACTTGGGGTGATTATTGACCATGATATCATCAATTTTGTGCCTCATGCTTCTAATATCCTTGATAGAGTGGTTTGCATTTACCACACACTCTGGAATTGACTGGTGGATATTATGAAATTTCTTGCAGCCTTTCTGCTTAAATAAAGCCAATTACTATTTCACTGGAAATTTTAATTCTGAGTTTGAATGTTTTTAACAGTGAGGCTAACCAAGTATATTTCATTTCTTAGAAAAGCAGGCATGTTCATCCGAGTGCTCACTGAAGCTGGTTTGTAATATCTATGACAAAGATTACAACAATACTGAATTGTACATTTATCTAACATTTAATAATCAGTAGTAGTATTTTATTGGATTCACCAATCCATATCAAATCAAATTCAAGCTACGCATTTATTGGACCTTTTATGCCAGTAGAGGTACTTTACATAAAGGTATTCCAATGTTTACAAATAAGCTATATTGAAAAACAACTTTATCAGGTATAAAAAAAATGTGTGAAGGAAGGTTATCAGTAGCACACGTCAACAGAAAGGGAATTCCATATGCATGGTGCACAGCAACTGAAATGCTGTTACAGACTGATTGATGGGAATAAATAATGATTCAGTTTAAATTAGACCTCATTATATGACTTGTGCATTAGACACACAATGATTTTATATAGTGCTGAAGTGTGCATGCATGGTGTTTTACAACAAAGTGACAAGTCCCTGCCATGAGGAGCTTACAATCTAAATTTGACTCAATTGAGAAAGAAATGACAAACAATGGAAGAGGGCTAGGAAGGTTGAGGACAACAATAGTGAAATATCATTTGAACTTAATGTTTGGGATGCATCTTGTTACTTTGTCTGTTTTTTTTTTTTAAAAATGGATTTAATATATTAGGGTTATACAGTTAGCCAAATCAGATTTTTTTTCACCATCATGTAGGTTAGATGTGATCCTGCCCTGAATGAAGAAAAACAGTGAAAGTTGCTGTCAGAAAGCTGAATGCAAATTAAAAATAGTTATTTCACTGGGGGAGGGGGTTGGATCTTTTTCCAGAGAAAGGCAGAGATAGAACTTTATGGAAACCTCCACTTTCAATAGTGTATGTAATACATTGTTTAAAATGTAAAACGCGATGCATGTGTAAAAGAGGCTTGAATGAAATAACATCTATGGGTGGAAAAAAAAATCCTGGCATCAGATGCATTCCATATTTCTCTTTTATCAATCATCTCCCTCTCTTCATTTAATGCTTGACCATATTCCTCTATTTTAATTTTAAGACCCCCCAAACCCTTTAAAATGTGACACTTATTAGGGGCTACATATTCACAAAGCTTTCCAACACACTAACTCATTATCACTTTCATACTTCAGTTCCTCACCCCAAATGTGATAGGATGCCCACATTTTTGTCCATGACTCAAATTTGACTCTGCTTGGCCCCATTTCAGTTCATGAAATAAAAGTAATAATAAAACCCTCTAAATATTTTCTAAACAATATTTCAGGATATTTTCAGTAAACAAAAACAATGAAATGCCACCCAATGAAACAAAGAACATTAATATTCTTATTACAGAAAATGACAGTTTACATTTAAGAGTGAAATACCACCTAGACAACAACACAACACAACAGTACTACTAGATAGTACTTTCCTTAATTGTGCATATAGCAGACATTGGGGGGGTCAAGTTACATAACTTCATCCTCTCTAATTTGGTTGCTTGTATTTTTTTCCCCTTTATCTTGCTCTCCTTTCAATATTTCAAGATACTGGGGAGTAAGAGGGGAAAGAAATATAAAATTACCAGGTCTATTTTAATTTGTGTAGCAGAAGGCCCTCTGCAAAGAAATCTCAGAGACCATCACTTCACCAGGGTAGCAAGTACAGTATATATTCAGGCAGTCTGGTGAAGTTTTAAGGTTTTCATCTCCATCCTTTATGGGTCACCAAGCGCTCAGAAATAATCCCTTTCAGTTGCTCTATAGCAGCCATTTTTACTCCTCACCCTATAACCACATTATAGCACAGTGCACTGCAGCTCAGCTCCTTTCAGGTCTAGAGACAGACCACAGAGCAAAAACAAGGAAGATACTCCAGAATTTACGCCTCCCAGGTTATATAGAACAATTCACCCTGTCTGCTCATCCTGCAAAGTGCTAAGTGTCTTATTCCCATTCACTGGGAGTTGACGATGCTCCAAAACTCACAGGATGAAACATGCAGAAAAAAATCAAACCTTTTATAAGTGCATCTGCTACCCCTCAAAAAAACAAACGAACAAAATACACACACACACACACACAAAAAAAAAACACAGTTAAGTAATGAGCGACCTACCTGTTCCAGGAATAGATTTGTCAATAAACATCTTCTATACTGAATATTTGACAAAATTTGACTGTATAAAATCCACACAATTTAGACTGCTACTAAAACTATCCTAACAATACAAAAAGCTGTACTAGACAATCCCCTCCATTGCTCACCTGTTTTTGAGATGTGCTTCCAGCTCACATCGTTGCATTACCTCCTGACATACTGAAGAAAAGGGACACAAAACAAACAATTTGTCTAACAGTTTATGTACGAGAATACTGGATTTTTTGCAGAGTTTAAAATGAAGCTTTTTTCGATCCAATGGACAGAAATCCTTCTCCTGCAAAAAGTTCCTTAGGCACTTGTAGCAGAACGTGTGTCCACAAGGGGTGTCTAATGGCTGCAACAAAGGCTGAAGGCAAATATGGCAGACCAAGTCATCATCCACTTCATTCTGATAGTTGTACAAATGATTCTCCCTTGTCCAATGTTGCTGGCCACATTCAAAACATAGAGGGTTCAAGGAGGAAGTCTGCTCTACTGAAACCATCTCATCATTTGTAGTACCCATTGTACAACATATGGAGTAGGTTTTGTTTCTTCATCAGTTAGACTAGTTTTGTAGTCTTGATTTTTTACAGTAAGGTGACTTATTCTTATGCTCTTTAATGAAAGGTCATTTTTCTGCAACATACAAGAAAATTAAAGTTATTCACGCTGTGTTACAAATGAGCAATATGAAAACGCTGATTATAACAGTTTAAATTGCTCCAGTTTATCAAAATATATATTGAAAATGCCCTAATTAGCTTAACGGATATACATTTTATTTTTCTTTCCAGAAATCCATCATTAAAGTGTTAAAATGAAACAAATCCATAACATTAATTTTGTATTACAATAGAAACATTTTATTGCTATGTAACAGCTGTAATGTAATACAATTCCAATTATTGTATAGCTTCTGCCTCCAAGAGGATTGTGGGTTAACAGCAAGGACATGTTATACTATTTTAGATTAAAACAAAACAATTAGTTTTACCGACTAAGAAAAATATATTCCATTGTGAGCTGAGGTTATGAGGCCAATTAAACAAATGTGTACTCTAATACACGAAGAAATGTGTTTCTTCAGCAACCTCAATAGCTGCTCAGTCTGTGGCATCCCATTAACAAAACACTGTCCACATGCCACATTGTGCCTATATGTTTTTAATTAGTGGATTACTGCACACTGAGGTTAACTCATTCTACCCAATATTATACATTTGATTCAAAATATAATGAAAGGCCAGGAAAAAGGTATGGTGTAAACTGATTATAAATTGTGCATAACTATTGACACCACACAATCAATATGTTTGCTTTTACATCTAATGAAGTTAAACATACAGCACACTCACACAGAAAGAATTTACACCTAGCTAGGATACTTAAATGTCAGTCAAAGCCAATATTTAGTCCTTGCTTATAATAAGATTTATTTTCCAAACCTTAAGCATGTTAACTTTATTAATAATTAACGAGATGTACATGGTTAGGAAACAACACAGCCAAGTCACCCTATCACAGAAGTTTCAGTTCTACAATAGACCTAAAGTTCATACAAACACTGATTGGGCTCCTCACCAATTCTTATTCCAATTTTCTCTCCCTTTACAAAAAAATTACTAACTACTTCTGCCTCCAATTAGCTTTGTGACTACAAATGTTTTTATTTAGATAACAAATCTAATGTATTTTAGGCTTTTTATTCCTCTACACAGCTGTTAGTCCTTCGAAATTTTCCTGCATTGCAAAAACTTTTTTTTTCTTTTTGCTAGACTGCACATTCTAACCTCACACAGCCAAACAGAAGACTTTGGGCACATTTTGCAAGGATTACGATATTCTTTGATGCAAAAAGGAGTAAACAGTAATTTGTAATTCAGGATTCTATACTGCTGTGGAAACTGATGCTCCTCATTGCCCTATCTTGTAGTAGATAATATGCACCTTCTGCAAAGGATTTCATGAGGGAATAGGATAACAGTTCTTTGTTACTAGTGACAGTGAATGCAGAACTAGATGACATGGAAACCAGCATTAAATATATTACGTAAGAAATCTGATAAAAATTTGACAAGAAATCTTGTGTCTAGGGCCCTTCTCTATACAGAATGTAATTCCCTTAACTTTATGTCCAAACTGGTCAATAAAATAATATAGAAGATGTGAGACTTTTCTAAGGACTGCTCTCCACACACAAAATCAGTCAAAACATAAATGTTCTAGAAAACGTAGGGTCACTTTCCAAAGAATAATTTGGGAATTTACAAAATTATATTATCTGACTGCTTAGTGTTCCAGGAACATCCAAACAGAATGCATCAGGTACCGCATGCTCTAACATTCCAGAGATTTCTATGGAACATTAACAGATAGCAGCAGCACAACAGCGGCAGTGGAGGATGAGTAGTGAAGCCATTTATAAGCAGATATTTTCTGACTCCAACTATTAATTACAATCAACATCATTCCTATTCTTTAAACACCCAAGCATATAATAAGCAGGAAAAATCTCAGTCAACACAGCTCAGGAAATGTCACTGGACTAATCTGGTTACTTCAACAACGTTGGCTCCATAATCAATGTCTTGACACCAGACGTCATGATTTCTGTGTTAAAAAAAAGACAAGTCAAGTATCTCACTGGAGCTTATTAAAAACGTAAGTGACTTGTACTGCACTCCTTTACAGAACTCAGTCCAGCATCACATGATGAATATACCAGTAAGATACTTGATAAGGCAAAAGATGACATCATCAGCCTTTGGGACAGAGGATGATAAAAACTGGGTGACTGGGCAACAAAATGGCAGATGAAATTCAATGCTGATAAATGCAAAGTAATGCACATTGGAAAACATAATCTCAACTATACATACAAAATGATGGGATCTAAATTAGCTGTTACCTCTCAGGAAAGAGATCTTGGAGTCATTGTGGCTAGTTCTCTGAAAACATCCACTCAATGTGCAGCGGCAGTCACAAAAGCTAACAGAATGTTGGGAATCATTAGGAAAGGGATAGATAAGATGACAGAAAATATCATGTTGCCTCTATGTAAATCCATGGTATGCCCACATCTTGAATACTGCATGCAGATCTGGGTGCCCCATCTCAAAAAAGATATATTGGAATTAAAAAAGGTACAGAAAAGGGCAACAAAAATGATTAGGAGTATGGAACAGCTTCCATATGAGGAGAGATTAATAAGACTGGGACTTCTCAGCTTGGAAAAGAGATGACTAAGAGGGGATATGATAGAGGTCTATAAAATCATGATTGGTGTGAAGAAAGTAAATAAGGAGGTCTTATTGACTCCTCCTCATAACACAAGAACTAGGGGTCACCAAATGAAATTAATAGACAGCAGGTTTAAAACAAACAAAAGGATGTATTTCTTCATGCAACACACAGTCAACCTGTGAAACTCGTTGCCAGAGGATGTTGTGAAGGCCAAGACTATAACAGGGTTAAAAAAAGAACTAGATAAGTTCATGGAGGATAGGTTCGTCAATGACTATTAGCCATGATGGGCAGGGATGGTGTCCCTAGCCTCTGTTTGCCAGAAGCTCGGAATGAGCGACAGGGGATGGATCACTTGATGATTACCTGTGCTATTCATTCCCCCTGAAGCACCTGGCATTGGCCACTGTCGAAAGACAGGATACTGAGCTAGATGGACCTTTGGTCTGACCCAGTATGGCTGTTCTTATGTAAAAAGAATTCTTAATATATGAGGAGCCTTTAAAAACACACACACACACACACACACACACACACACACACACACACACACA